ATTAAGCAAGATTGAGTAAAAACAGCGCTAGAGGTTCAGACAAAACACAAACATACTTATATAAAGTAAATTACGGAACCAACACCATGCCAGAGATTCATACAGAACACAAACATGCATATATAAAGTTACTTACATACATGCATATATACTTACTTACGGAATAAACACCGCGCCAGAGGTTCAGACAGAACACAAACATACATAAAGTAACTTACGGGTCAGTGAGCACTGCATCAGAGGTACAGACAGAACACAAACATTCAGATAGCAACCTACAGATGAGTCAACACCGCACCATAGGTTTAGACAGAACACAAACATATATATAAAGAAAATTATAAGTTAGCTAACATAGTAACTAAGGCACCTCCAACTATGTAAAAAACACACATGCAAAGTATAGTAAATAAATAAAATTTATTTATTGTAATTTAAATTTCTTTTTTTAATTATTTAAATACCACAAAGCAGCAGGACATGGAACAGGTTGCACTGGCTTACATGTTACTAGTAGCAGCATGATAAAAACCATAAAGACCATAAACCTGATCTGAAAATTATCTGCAGGTAGACAATATCTCATTAAATTTTTTTGCCGATCTTATTGTCAGACATTATTTGGAAAAAAATTCAACCCTAAACATGCAAAACAACCCTTAAAGATTACAAAAAAATTAATGTTTAGGGTTTTTTTAGTGCGCACAAAGTCGAAAGACTTTATTGGATGAAAGGCACTATAAATGCGTTAGTATCACAAAATCTTAGTTAACCAACTTGGACCAAGTATAAAAGAACTTTTTCCCAATAGCGGTTGCATCTTTCAACATAATAACAATCCCAAACATGGTTGAATGTAAAAAAGGGGTGTATTGGATAGAATATTTGGTTGGATATCAAAGCTAGATTTGTATTTTATTTGGTTTCTGGCTGGATAAAAATATATTCCAATTATCAATAGTAAGAAAAAACTTGTTTTGTTTTTATTGTTGCAGTCTTCAATGCTGCACAGTTTAGACATGCATTACGAAAATGGTTTAGAGTTGAATTCTTAAAACCAGTTTAGACCTGATCAAATCATTTGGTAAATATCAGAATCAGAGAATCTATAACACAAATTTTAAAGTGTTATTCTTTTAAAAAATAAAAATTTAAATTGATTCAATAACTTATTGTTCAAGTTGTATAGTTTAAATAATTAAGAATCAACTACACACAATAATTACAGGTTTTATCACTCAATTTTTATCTGCATTATGATGAATAAACAATCAAATTTTTCCACGTTGAGATAACAACCTTGATTGATTTTTCTCATAAATAATTCCATATTCAGAAAACAATATCTCTACAGAAGATGCTAGAAGATAATTCAAAGGCTACTTTATTTAGCCTTGAAAACTTTCATGTTTCAAATTATTTAAAGTATTTATCTATAATTGAGTGATTAAATAAAAATCTTCTTGAGCCAGGGAGATTTAGTTAAGCAAGGTAGATTTGCTTGTGCAAAATTTGCTCTGAATTTATTTGACCATTGTGGTCTATAAAATAATAGAAATTGAATAAATCTCAATCTTATATTATGATCAGCTAAATTTATTTGAACTGCCCTTTTAAGTTATGAAATCTTGCGCTAAATCTTAGCACAAAAGTAATGGTGTTTTATTTTATTTTGTTTTTAAATGTTGTTGCAATAACTTAAATTCTATACATGCGTTCGATGAATGATTAAAATGACCTGTTATTCTACATGTTTTTGCTAATAAATTTGTTATTATTATTTAGTATAAAACTGCATCCTTAATTTCAAGTTAGAATAAATAAATTGTTCAATTGATTGACAAATTAATAACCTACAGATATAAGCAGCACCACCTTTAATTAAAATGTGACTTCTTAGTTTATTAATTTTTCAGCTTTCTAATATATTGATGAATCTTCCTGCTATTTGATCCTGTGCAAAGGAATAAATATAGCTGAAAAATTCATCAATATATGTTATAAAGCTGGGAAAATAATGTTAATGAAATTATCATTAATATTCGAGCTTTCTGACATATGGATTTCTACATATATTGTAACATAGGAGATATGGAAAATGTGAAGCAATAACACAGCATTTTTGCACTCAAAACCTTTTTTTATTAAATGTTTTGAAAAAGAAATAATTATTTCATGAGACAAGGGGCAAGACTATATTGTCATACAATCAAGAAAATGCATTTTCTGGAAAAAACATTTGCTTGGGTTAGGTGCCTAGGCTGTAAATGATTTTTTACAGCCTAAGTACCTAATGAGAATTATTAGATTTTCTGTTTTTCTGCTTTCCACATGGAATACAAGCTGCTGTTGATTCAAAGAGATCGTTCATTTTAAAAGCTTCCAAACAAAACATTTTTCAATGTTTATTGTATTGATATTTTAAAGTATTTCATTTATTAATATATCTATTGTAGGTTTTGTTTTTTTTCTTTTAAATGAAAGCATCTGCCCACAATTTATATAAATACATAAGCATGGCTATTGACAAGGTCTAAACAACTGCTATCTTTTTTCAGAAATTTTATATTAACCTTTCTGTAGTTTGTTCAAGCTTGATTTATTGAAGATAAAATGATTGCATTATTACTTTCGACTAATTATCATTAATTTTCGAGCTTTCTAACATATGGCTTTCTACATATATTGTAACATAAGGGATATGGAAAATATGAAGCAATAACACAGCATTTTTGCACTCAAATCAATGATTACATTATTACTTTTGACAAATGTTGTAATAAAGACATTAAAGTCAAATGGGTGGAAAAATATTATAAGATAGAGGTCTCTCCATATTTTTTAAGAGATTGATCAAAGAGTGTGATTTATTGAAGATAAAATGATTACATCATTACTTTTGACTAATGTTGTAATAAAAAAATTAAAGTCAAATGGGTGGAAAAATGTCATAAAATAGAGGTCTCTCTACATTTTTTAAATGATTGATCAAACAGTGTGATTTATTTTGAGTCAATTTTAAATAAACTTAACAACTTTGAATAAAATATCTTGCATTAATTATAAAGAACTTTTTTTTTTTTAGATTTTTATTTGGTAAAAAACTTTTGAAAAAATTCTTGTTAGTGTTTTTAAATTACTTGATTAAGAATTTAGAACTAAAAGAAGGGGAATTTTATTATAATTTTAGTATAATTTAGTATTTAGTTATTCTTCCTTTTGCTTTAAGTATATCTAGCAAACGTTCTGGGATTGATTAAACATTTTATTTGATTATTGTCAATTTTAGACCACAATTTAACAACAGCTTTCTACTCTTTTATTGTCATATATGATCTATTACCTATTTTTTTATCAAAAACCTAATAAATACTCCATTAGATTCAAATCAGGGCTGTGTGAAGGCTATTCTAAAACATTTAAGTTTTCCATGCCGTAAAACCTTATAACATTACATCCACCACCATCTGTTTAACTGTTCTTTTTGTACTCAAATGAAAAGGTTTAACCTCTTTCTCTTTTGACAAACTTTTGCGCACTATCAGATTTTTAAAAACAGTCATGATTCAGTAGTTAGATTTCTAACCCAGAACTGAAGAACCCAGATGTTTGAGGTGACAGCGCTGACCATTTTAATAATTGAATTTTTTTGCTGTTAAACCATGAGATATTTGACTGAAAAAAAATTGGTGTTACCAAATTTTTGCAAAATATCATTTAAATGACCATTCAACAAATTTCTATATCCTTCAGCAATAATTTAGTAGTAATAAAGTAAATCGAAGTTTTTTCAAAAATACTGAATGCACCCCATATAATTGCTCCTCCGCCTCCCATAGCCCTTCTTTTTGAATATGTTTTTCTTTTTTAATGTCAGTAGCAATTGAAGCCATCTGGACCATCGACATTGAATTTTTTTTTATCCGACCATACAATTTTTTGTCATTCTTTTTCCCTAGTCATGTGGTCCTTGGCCCATTGAAGACGAATGTGTTTGTGTGCTTCAGTAAGTGCTGAAGATGTGTTTTTTTTTTGCATATCTAAGAATATCTGACTTGTTAATTACACGATTCACCGTTCATATTGAGCATTTCAATCCAAAATCAGCGCCTATTTGTCTCGCGGAGATTGTACGGTTACTAGTGGCTTGCAGAATTTGTCGCTGTTGGTGAGCTGTAAGTATAGATTTTCTACCACTTCGATGCTTCGTGTTATAATTTATTGGATCATTTACAAAAATATTGATCAAACATTGTGAGCATCTCAGTTCGCAAGAAATATTCCTGTTTGATAAATCCAATGACCTGTAGGCTTCGATCTTGCCATTTTCTTCATATGAGAGTGTAATTCTTCTTGGCATTTGTTAGAATGTATTTTATAATTTTAAAATGTAATAAATTTAATTAAAAAAAGAATTTACTACTATTTTTGATGGCTTTTGATTCAATTTAGATAATGAGGTTATAATTGTGCACCACGGGTTTAAATGGTTTTATAATTTGAGTTAATTAGAGTATAAATAGATTCATGTAAATTATTTTGTTTATTTCAAAAAACGATCAACAAATAGAATTTGATCAACAAACTTTAAAATATAGTTTTAAGAGATCTATACAGGTGAGGTTATAATATATATATATTATATATATAATATATATACATAATATATATATATATATATATATATATATATATATATATATATATATATATATATATATATATATATATATATATATATATATATATATATATATATATATATATTGATCATTTTTCAATGTTAAATCAAAAAAATATTTATATAAATATACATTCAATATGTAATATTTATATGCAAATATTATAATAGCAATAACAATAGTTTATGCTTTTTTTATTTAACATCGAAAAATGGTCAAAATATTACAAAAATCTATTTTCAAAATAATAAAATGAAATGCAAAAAAATAAAAAGAAAAAGTATTTGATAAACTTTAACTAAAACTTTTTTATTTTAGTGGATCAGCTTACAGCTCATATTGATGTTCAAAACAAGATTGCTGAAGGCTATCTTACATTTAAAAAGTATTTATTTTGATTTTTAAGAAAACAAGTTTTTTAAAATTAATGAAATATATATATATATATATATATATATATATATATATATATATATATATATATATATATATATATATATACATATATATATATATATATATATATATATATATATATATATATATATATATATATATATATATATATATATATAAATATATATATATATATATATATATATATATATATATATATATATATATATACATATATATATATATATATATATATATATATATATATATATATATATATATATATATATATATATATATACAACAGGGGCTATTCTAGACTGTTTTCAATAGTGTTGACCATATTTGGGCACTAAAAAAATAAATCCTGATTAAAGATGTCAGCTTCATTTTGACTAGAGTTGTGTTTATTATCATCCTGCTCAATCTCTACACTTTACACATCATCTCTTTCACTGATCAAAAATGTCGGTTGATCATTAATGATTTTCTTATTGAGCTCTTCCAAAATGCTGTATTGTGTATTCTAAAATCAAAAACAATAAAAATTTGATTTTTAATATAAAAATTTAATTTCCATACTTATCAAGTTTTGACAAAAAATTTAGCTATTTATTGTAAAATTTATTTTTTTAACAAGATAATTTTTTTCTTTTAATAAGAAAAAAAAAATCGTCATCTAAATTAAAGATAAAAGAAGTTTTCTTTCTTGTTTTTAAGGCTTTTATCAGTGAAACTATCAGTGAGATGGTACTGGTTGCCACTTTTTTCACATCTTTAAGTTTTAGGATTAACTCCAACATAAAGTAGTTAGAGTTCCAACTGATGCTGGTAGGAGCATTGATTTTAACATAGTTTACACTAAGCACTTCACACTCTTTTTGAATAAGTTGAGTGGCTGT